GAGCTTAAATTCGGTGTTTTAGAGCTGCTAACTAGTATCCGCCCTTCAATTCGCTTTCAATCATAAACTACTTGTAGTTGTTATAAAAAAATACCATTATTGTAAATTAAATGAACATTAAATGATAAACTTCATAAAAAGTGGTGCAAATTTAACATGGTAACTAGAAGAACAATTAGAAAAACCAAAGTACACTTGATAATTTCCAAATTTACGAAAAACAACAACAGTGTAATGTCGTTCCAAGAAAGTCTGAATTCTATTTAACTGACAGGTTACACATACAACAACTAACTAAATTAAGTTACGACCAAATGCTACAAAGGAGTAATCAAAAAGACTACAGCAAAGAAAAATTCACAGTTAAATAAAAAATAATCACTTATTTAAGTTTTCATTTCTACCCTCAAGAAAAGAGGCAAAGACCGGCAATTCTTGAACCGAGAAAAGAGGCAAAGACCGACAACTCTTGAGCAGTTTGAGAAGAATAATTTAACCGTGAAGGAACAGAGAATTCCAAGACGAATATGACAAAAGAGCAACAAAATATGAATAACATACATTAAAACCTTTTCAACAGTGAACATTTTTAACAAATGGTTATTTGAAAAAGTGGTAGTGATAGTAAAAAAATGAAAAAACAGTCAAATAATCAGAAATTTAGCACGCTTTTTACGTCTCGTATCACAGTTAACTTTGAGCGCTGTGACGTACTTGTACTTTTCATTGCGATTTTTAATATAAACAATAATTATCCGCTACTCTTTACAAAAAATTAGTACTAATAGTTACAGATTAGTCTTCCACAAAGAGAAGAGCATTATACTATCAGGATACTGCTTGATAACGTGAATTCAAAGCCATAGAGGGCTTTCACAAAGCAAAAAGTTATTGGAAAATTATCTCCCACACTATTCGTCTTTTTTCAGTCCCATATTCTCCAGCTTTCTGACTATAAATTTAATGCTTGGCCATCCATCTCGCCTCTGCGGTATAGAGATTTGAAATTTCACTACTTGCCAGAAATGAATTGTTGCAGAGGAATAGAATGCTAGTTAAAGTGTAGAACGTTTCATAGAGTAAACTCACTGACTCAAGGCAACAAGCCTAATAAAGATATAAAAATAAGTTAGAGAACCAAAGAATGCAACTGGAAGCAAACGTCAGTACTGCATGTACCATATCCTTATTCTACCAGAAATTTTTCAAGGGTTTCAAATAATAGAAAAAAACAGCTGTTTTTTATGTTAAGTGAGTAAGTTACCGGCCTCAACAAGTAAGACTACAAGTTGTGTGATGTCTGGCGTCAAAGCTTCACACAAATATTTGATAACGCATTTCGCCCACTGAAATCTGTCACGCGGAAAACAACGTTCTGCATACTGTCGCATCATCTGAAAACCGACTTGAAATTCTAAGGCAAATAATATTTCTTACAGTGCAAAACAGCAACAAATGTCAAGGGTCAAAACTGAGGTATTTTGAGCATATCAAATTTCAAATAGAAGCAGCTTATTAGACAAAGACCCAACAACAAATATTTCTATTTACTCTTGTTTATTCTTAATTTCAACTTTTCATGTAGAAAAATCCATGAGAAACAAAAATTCAATAAGAATTTAAGAATTGCATACCGAAGAAAAATTCTTCAAAGGATCATCAGTGTCGTCACTAGCACCGTCATCCACTTTTGCAGTTGTGAACTGTAAAAAAAAAGATTTTCCTATTGAAAAAAAAGTCGAAATGCAAAAGAAAAGAAATAAAAGCAAAAAAGGAAAAAATTAGAAAACAAAATGGATGTCTTAAAAGTAAACTTCAGCAAAGGCTTTTGCTGTTGAGATGCATAGAGATGATGGAGAATCAAAGTTTTGAATCAGCAACGGTAAGGCACAAATAATAGTAATAGGCAAACACGATCTAGAACCCATAGCAGGTTCATCTATCAAATCCAGACATTTCACAAGCAACGACAGCGATAATTCATAACCGCCAGCGATTACAGTACCTAAAACTGATCCTTATGTAATGCAAAAGCTTAAAACTCATTAACTGCTAACTTATTGTGTAAGAAAAAAACAAAATTCAAGAAAGCCCACGTACCCTTCACAATTAAGCCGATTATACCGTTGAAAGTACTCCAGTCTAGCTGTGCTACAGTTTTCGAAAACCTTTGCAAACAGACGGTTCTGTCAGATCCAGCAACATCTAAGACCTTGTCTAACAGATGTAAAGCAAGTAGGTACTCATTATCATTGCTCGATTCAAGCATGGCTACTGAGATAGAGAGTAAATGACACAAAGCTGACAGGTCTTCTAGCCCTACACCATGTTCGGCAGTTTTTAAAGCTGATGCACTCTTGCTCCGACTCATGCCTGGTAGCATTAAATCCCGTTCATCGCCAACCATCATTGAGTGACGGATATCTAATATTAAACAAAAAAAAGCATACAAATAAAAAATTCAGACTGCCAGCAGTTAAACTAGTTTTTTTTTAATTTCTTTAATATTATTCAGATTTAAGTAAGTAGACATTTGAAGTGCTTAAATTTTACTTTCTATTCAGCAAAAAGTGGTTTTCATATGAAGTCTATTTTTAACTAAAATGAGCAAGTTTTCAGTTAACACCTTTGCGGTCTTGATTGGACAACACTCCTGATGAAGCAGCGGCAGCGACAGCTGTTTGTCGTAAAAGCGCTGGAGTGTACGAAGTCGAACGAGCATGTGTTGGAGATTGAGCTGGCGCTATATTTGGAGGTAAAGCCAGATGTTCTACAGCACTTTGCAGACACAACATTAAATCGGTAACGTAGGCTTGAGTATCCTCATGAATTTCTCCAACAGTTTCAACTAGGCGAGATAAAATGCCAGGAACCCAAGCAGTTGGAGACTACAAAGATAAAAGAGAGTGCCGAGAAAATGGCATATATTTTAAAAAACGAGGAATAGCTCAAAAAAAAGTCCATGGAAACCTGGCAAAGAGCTGATGCAATTTGAAAACAACGTCCAGCAATGTGGCGATTCGAAGCAGAAAGAGCCATACTCATAGCTAACTGAGACCAACTTTCCACGAACATCGGAGCTTTAGAGAGCATAAATTCTGCTAAGTGACGAACTACACATCCAAGCTGCTCAGCACTGTCAATGCGCCACGTCTTTAAAGTCACATCCTCATTCTGCCATAATGGTCTGTCCATCCTTAAAAAATCAGACAATTATAATTTTTGAATAAAAATCCAGAGAAAGGTACCAACAGCATAATCTTATCTAAACTTGTAATTTTAAAATCACCTCTCCGATAAGCAAAAAATAATAGCTATCACAAGGTCAGCTTCGGAAGAAAACAAAACATTGCTTTTTAACAGCATCTGACGATACTCTTGATATTTTAGAGATGAGTATGACACGGACTCCTTCTTTGAAGCACTTTCCGCGCGGCTTTCATCATTTGCAGTTTGGATTAACTGTTCATCAGAGGATGCCAAAATGTACTGTAAATAATGCTGGATTCGTAGAGCATACTAAATATTGCAAAAAAACCTATCAGGTGTTTTTCACCAAAAAAAAAGAATTAAATGAAGCAATACTTAGACTAAACAAAAGCTACTTGGTTTGTCAAAAGAATGTTTGCCAACTGTGCAGCAGGAATATCCTCATTAGCATACAATAAGACAATATTTATAATAAGTTGACGAGAGTGCCGACACAAAGATGAACGCAAAGAATCCAAACCCAACACAGCAACATGCAAAAGCAAAGGTATATGTTCGCGCCAATCAATGTTTTTGCTATACGGAATTACGTCACAAATATGCATGAGAGCAAGACTACATCTGCAAATACAAAGGCAAGATAAAGTGAGAGATTTACAGCAAAACCGAACAAACAAACCCGTCATTTTAAATGCAGTCATAAAATTATTAAGAAAGTCAAC